AAGAAGCATTTTTTTAAGGAAAGTTTAAAAATATAAGAAAAACCCAAGACAAAAATATGAATTACCTTTAATATTAAGCAGATGTAACTATACTTAATGTTTTGGTGTCTGAACTTCTAGTTTTTTATACATAAAAAAATTATATATACTGTATTAGAAAATGGAATTATGCTATATATACTTTTATAACCTGTTTCCTGTAATAATATTTTGTGACTATCTTCCTTGTTACTCTGTGTGCTTGTAACTTCCATTTTTAAGGGCTCCTTCATATTCTAGTAAATAGGTACATCATAATTAGTTTTTAAAAACCTCTTAGAAAACTTTTAAATTGTTTTTTGTATTTTCATTATTAAAAATAAACATTCTTATAAATAATTCTTGTAAATCTCTGATGATTTTCTGAGGATCAATGTCTAGAAGTAGAATTTTTAGGTAAAATAGAATGTAAATTTTTAAGTTTTTCACTATGAATTGTCGAATTGTCCTCCAGAAAATTTGTGCTAATTTACTAATATTCTTTAGAGATCCCTAGTTTTTTAAAAGAAGTAATTGTTTGCAATTAGACATTTTAAAGGACAAAATCATATCTGTATAATTTTAAAATCGAGTATGCGAATAGTAGTAACGAGGGTGCAATAAAGTCAACTGACTTTAGGTAGATTCCATGAGGACCAAACATTTTATAGTTTCAAATGTATAGCGATGAACGTTTGGTATTTAAAGTTTGTATAATATCGGTCATTAGGAAATTGAAATTGTGAGGATGAGGGAAGAAATTCCAATATGTTTTCCATTAACAAATTCTCTCAGATATTAGCATTTGGTTAAACCAAGCACTTAAAGGAGTCCGGGACCACCATGGGAATGCAATAGAAAATGCTCATCTTCTCACTTTGTTTCATCGGCTCTGCAAACTTTTATTTTTTCGAATTCGTCCTATTTTTGTGTTTGATGGGGACGCTCCACTCTTGAAGAAACAGACTTTGGTAAGTGTCATCTAATTTTTGGTAAGCGTCAAATAATTTTTTTTTTCCTGCATTCTTAGAACAGTTCACTTAAAATTTTTATTTTCTCTTTGGAATTTTAGAAACAGACTTATTTTAATACATATCCAATTTAATTTTAACTGCTTTTCTATTTATCTTGAACAAATACCTTTTCTTTTAAAGAAAAGTTTAGTGAGAGTACATTGTGCATACAATAATAAAATTTAACTTTTAAATAAAATTAACTACTAAAATTTTCACAATTGAGGGTTTTCCCGTTAGAATATCTTCTTAGGTGTTCTATATTTATTGCAGCTATGCTGCCATCACGGAGAACGTTGTGGAAACCCTATGTGAGAAATGCCTTCTTGAATCTGAGACAGAGTGTCCTCAGTAATGGCAAGCTTTCTTTTAAAGGTGACTCGGACTTTAGGAGTAAGCAATGTTATGTGGTGACTAAAGTGGGTTATCCAGGAATTAAACTGGACATGATGTAAAAGAATGAGAATGAGTTTCTTTATTTTTCTGAAAGTAGTTTTAAAAAAATGTTTTTGAGAAGCTAAGGTGAAAGGATCACTTGAGCCCCAGAATTTGAGTCCAGCCTGGGCAACATAGGGTGACCCTGTCTCTAAAAATAGAAATAAATATGTTTGAACGATACAAATGACAGCACCCACTTGTATATAAACTTTTTATTTTTATTTTTTTGAGACAAGATCTTACGCTGGCTAGAGTTCAGTGGCATCATCATAGCTCACTGCAACCTCAAACTCCTGGGCTCAAGCAGTCCTCCTGCCTCAGCAAGAGGTAGCTGGGACTACAAGTACCTGCTACTGGTAAACCCGGTTAATTTTTATATTTTTTTGTAGAGATGGGGTCTCACTATGTTACTCAGGCTGGTCTTGAACTCCCGGCTCCAAGCAATTCTCCTGCCTCAGCCTTACAAAGTGCTGGGATTATCGGCGTGAGCCACCACACCCACCCACAGAAATGTTTCTAATATGCTAATATCCTGAAGGAAAATCTTATATTCTTTTTTTCATAGGCTAAGAGAAGGCTGAGAAAGGACTGCGCATCCAGTGACTCCAGAAAAACTACAGAGAAGCTTTTGAAAACATTTTTGAAAAGACAAGCTATCAAAACCGCCTTCCAAAGCAAAAGGCAAGAGGAAAATTACATTAATTTTAGAGATTAATTTTTTAAAAATATTTTTGTGTTAAATTCCTGTGGTGATCTTTCCCTATCTAATTTCAACTTTCAATAGAAAATAGGGAGTGAAATGAGAGGAATAAGTAGGATGTCATTCGACTTGGTAATGTGAAGTTGTGAAAATTCTCTATTCTATGAGAATCAACTTTGCTAATGAGAAAGAAAAGCCATAGTGTTGCATTGTGCACACCTTTTACTTTTATAATGCTCTTCTTTTTGACTGTATCTGAGAGTCTGGCCAAGATGCTGAGGAGCCCCAGCCAGTCTCCTTTCTTCTCTAGGCTGAACTTATTTTCCACAGCAGTAGCCTCGGGGGAGCCGGGTCAGGAGTGGGGACATCCTTGCCTGGATGTTTCCTCCTTCTTCACCTCCTGAGCAGGGTTTGTGGAATCAGGGTGGGAGTATTATTGACTCAGAATACTGTTTCCTATAATCCCTGTTTAAAGATCTGTGTCTTTTCAGAAATGAAGCACTACCCAGTCTTACGCAAGTTCGAAGAGAAGATGACATCTATGTTTTGCCTCCTTTACAAGAGGAAGAAAAACATAGGTAAATGCTTAACTATTTAAGAGTGTTATTTTAATCATTGCTATATTCAAGCAGATTTAAACCTTTATGTTTTACCTACATGATAAGGCATGTGGGAATTTATTAATGCATCTGAAATTTGCATTCTCTATACCTTTTAGAATATTTTTCAAAGACTAAATTTTTTATTTACTGACTCATTTTTGTGTTTTGATGATTTGTGATTCACTGTTCCTTTTCATTCTGAAGAGCCTCTGCCATCACTGTGGATTCAAAATTCACCGAGACATGAGTTTCAGTTTTCCTATGCTTTGCTTACACATGCTTTCTCTACCTACTTCTCAGCCCAGTATTGTCTCTCTCACTACCACATCTGGCTATGTCCTCATTGCTAAATCTGGGAGATGTTTTGCACTTCTCAGTGTGCTTGACTTCTCTGCCCCACTTAACCCTGTGCCTGCCCTGTCCTGCTGTCCTGGCACCTCTCTGGCCTCTCCTTCTCAGCTCTTCTGTGGACGACTCTTCCTCTGGCTGCCTGTTAATCATCAATGGCTTCTGTGTTTGATGTGAAGGTGAAGGACCAGAGCCTTGACAGTTTGTCTCTGTTCCTGTCTCTCCCTTCCCCATTCCTGTCCCAGGGGCTCCCAAGTGTGAGCTAAAATAAAATCCTAAGCCCCCTCCAACTGAACAGACCCCCTCTTGTCCAATGGAATCCCAGAAAAATCTTAAAACTGAGTTCCCAGCCATGAAGGGAAGGAAGGTTGGACATACTTCATTATCCCCCCTCCCTGTGGAGTTTAGATACAATTGATCAGCATTAATGTTAAAAAAGAGATCATAAAACTGACAAAACAGACTCTTTGTGACAATAAGATATTAAATTATCGGCAGGACCTAAGGCCATGCAGAGTGAAGATTATAAATCCCCTGTAGGCCATCAATTTGCTTAACAGGTCACTTGTCTCTGATTAACAGACTTCCTTAACTTAAAACATTCCAATCCTTTAGACGAAACTTCATTTTTTTAACCAATTACAAATCAAAGACTCTTTGAAACCACCTGTAACCTGTAAGCCCCCACTTTGAGATGTCCTGCCTTTTCTGGTGAAACTAGTGACCAGTGTACACCTTTCATGTATGATTTATGATTTCACCTGCAATTCTTGTCTCTCTGAAATGTATAAAACCAAACTGTAACCCAACCACCTCGGGAACACTTGCTCAAGGCTTTGATGTGGCTCCGCAGGCCATGGTCACACATATTTGGCTCAGAATAAACCTCTTTAAATTATTTTACAGAGTTTGGGTTTTTTTTTTTTTTCCATGAACACAAGAGACAGAGTAGCTTTTGAGTCAGCCCGTTTCTCTTTATTTCCACTGCCACCAGCTTCGTCTTTTCTCCAGGTTACAGTAGTAGCTTCCAGACTTCTGTCTTTGTCTTTGATCTTACCCATTTTGCGATAACCCTTCTGCACCAAGCCCAGTCTCTGCTTTGTATTATATTATAGAATCTGTTTAAAACCCAAATCTGATATTGTTATTTCTTTACGTAGAACACTTCCTAGCTTCTCATTTCTTTAGGATAAAACTCCAACTCTTTAATCATACTTTCCAATCTCTTCCCTTGCTCTCTTCATACCACCCACAGGCAGGCTTTCTTTTCCTTGTTTCTGGGTGGTTATAGAACTTAGTTCTTTCATTTGGAACATTTTTCTCCACATACCTCCTCCCACCTAACAACTAGACTCCGTACTTATTTGTCACTAACTCCAACCAATGTAATTGCAGGAGATTCCAGAAAGCTTTTGTGACCCTCCGCAGATTGGGGTGGAGTGACTCTCTTTATTGTACTTTTAGCAACCTGCTCTTCTCTTGTAGTGGAAGTTAGTGGATCATACTGTAATTTCTTACTCACACAAGCCCCCACCAGACCATGAGACCAAGACAGCACAGATCTTGCTGGCTTATTCAGCATTGTATCCTCTATAGCTAGCAGCACCTTGCATAAGAAATATTTTTGTATGTAATCATTAAAAATCATAGATATTATGAATATATGCTTGACTTTCAGTTCAGAAGAGGAAGATGAAAAAGAATGGCAAGAAAGAATGAATCAAAAACAAGCATTACAGGTACTTAGATAATTTTTAAAATCAGAATGTATTGTTTGAAATGAATGACCTGTAAAGAATAACGTTAATGAGGTAGTATGAATTTATGGAAGTTCCTGATGAAAAGTAAAGACATGGGGAGCATTGTAGGGGGGAAGGGCATGCCTCTAACCCTCGCTAGGGTGAGGCAAAGAAATAAAATGTAACCATAATGTTTGTACCCTCATAATACCCTGAAATAAAAAAAAAAGTGAAGACAGATGCTTTTTTTATTATGTGTGTGTGTGTGCATGCGTGTGCGTATGTATATATATATATAAAATACACAAATGCTCGTGCATACACATATATGTATGGAATTTGCCATTATGCGTCTATATATCCAAAATAAACTATTTTTCTTTTACAACCAATTAACTAACCAATCAATAAATAGTAATACATGCTTGTGTGGAAATACAGAAAATGTACACCCCAAAATACCTTATAGTAACATTTTGGTATATTTTAGTTCATTCTTCCCCCTGCTCCATATAGCTGAATACTTGTGTGTGTTTGTGTGTGTGTGTATTTGGTATATGCATATGTATCAAATGCACATGTGTACATATATATGTGTGTGTGTATGTCTGTGCATATGTTCTAGTTATCTATTGCTGTGTAACTTAGTGGTGTAAACACATCATTTATTATCATCTATCACGGTTCTGGGGGCTGATGAGCTCAACCAGGCACTTCTCTTTTGGAGTCTTTAATGTAGATGAGGTCAGACTGTAGCTGGGGATGGAGCCACTTCCTCACTCGCATGTGTGGCGGTTGGTGCTGGCTGTCAGCTAGACTTCAGTGTGGCCAGCCACCAGAACACCTGCCTGTGGCCTCTCCACGTAGCCTGGGTCTTTCACAACATGTTGTCTGTGTTCTGAGGGTAGGCGTCCCTAGAGAAAGTTACAAGCAGGGACTTTGCTGCCTTTCTAAGTTGTGCAGCATCCTTTCCACCAGATTTATTCATTAGAAACTAGTTACTAAGGCCAGCCCTTATTAAAGGGGAAGAAAATTAGACAAGAAGAATGTCAAAGAGTCTGTGGACATGTTTTTAACAACAATATCACACATGTTTTAATGAATAACTTTTTTTTACAAAGCGAGATTGTAGTGTATATATGTTTTCTCATATACTTTTTTTTCAAGTTTTTTAGTGTAGCAGATAACATTCTTTGATTCCCAAATTCGCTGTGTCTTGTTCGTTCACATTGTTTTGGTATATCTGGCAGATGACTTTTGAGATAAACCTTGAAATCCTTCAGTTTGTGGAGGTGCTGCATTATCATGTGGCCAGTGATAGCTGTCTTGCTTGGTTAAGGCCATGGGCCTCAGGGTCAGAAAGACCTGCATTTTGGTCCAGGCTCCGCTGTTCACCAGCTGTGTGATCTTAGACGGATAAACTTCTCCAAGGCTTTATTTCCTCCCCCCTTTTTATTTTTGTAAAACTAAACTAATATTGACTGACGCCTTCCTCATGGGGGTGATGGGAGTATGAGTGAGGAAAAGCACAGGAAATGCTGAGCATAATGACGAGCCTGTCCCAAGTGCTTACTGGTTTGTGCATACACACATACAGGACCACAAGCTGCATTAGTTTATCTTTTTACTAGTGAAGGATTTTAAAATACTTTTGGTAATTAGTTAAAATTTAGAAAAGTTATATACTCTTCCATATCTGTGAATTTCTCACTTTTAATTTTATTTTTCATTTTAGGTTAAGAGAAAAATAAAACTAATCTAATTAAGGGGATTATATATATTGCTCAAATTTGTAAGGCTCATTGCTGCCTCAGGGCCTTTGCATTTGCTGTTCCCTCAGCCTGGGATGTATTGTCCCTGGTCAGGCCCTTTGGTATCTTTCAAGTCCCTGCTCATAGGTCCTCTTTTTAGTGAAGTCTTTTCTACCTATCAAACAAATCCTTTTTTTCTCTTTCTGTTCTTCAAATCACTTTCATATCAGATTAGCCTGCTTATTTTCACTTACTTATTTGTTTATCATATGCCTTCCTCCGCTCCTAAGAGTAGGGGCCTTATCTGGCATGTTCTCCTCAGTATCCTACCACCAAGCACAGTGCCGAGTGACTTATCGGTGCCTGGTGAGTATTTTTTCTTTTGAATGAATGAAAGAGTGAATGGATACATTTCCTGCTCTGCCTATTCACTTTGATGCCTATTACAGATTATGTGCAACTGTGTTTAGCCTATTGCAGATTTTGTAGAACGGTGTTTATGATCTAAGCACAATAAATATTTATTTAATTATAAATAAATACTCTGTAATGGTAAATAGAACTAAGTGTACGAAATGTAAATTTCACGGTGTTATGTTTTACTCTTTATAGGAAGAGTTCTTTCATAATCCTCAAGCGATAGATATTGAGTCTGAGGACTTCAGCAGCCTGCCCCCTGAAATAAAGCATGAAATCTTATCTGATATGAAAGAATTTACCAAGCGAAGAAGAACATTATTTGAAGCAATGCCAGAGGTGAAATATACAACAGTACATTAATAATAGAATTAAGAACTTCAGCAAAAGTTCTTATTAGAAAGAAGAGAAATTGATAAGCAATACTTATATAATATCTCAGTTAACAGTAAATAGCATTTGTGTATCTCAGAGATTATACAAAGCATCATACATTTGTAAGTTTGAGCTTACAAACACTCAAAGAAGTCTTTCTTGACTTTCCACCCAAGATGAGGTCTTTTCTCCTGCTCCATGTTCTCACAGCTCCCTGCAATGTCATTTTATAGTTCTTAGCTCCAAAATGTGCCTGTGGTGCTCACCTCTGTATTTTCAGCACCCAGCTCTGTGTCTTTCCCATAGTAAGTGCCTGGTATATATTTTGTGGTTCAGTTCTTAGCTTAGTTCATAAAAGTTACTTTAACCCACCATTTATGTTGTCTATAAAAACTAATAAATATAGAATCTAATCATAATGGAAAAGTATGTCCTAACTTGAAATTTCAGGTATACTTTATTCTGCTACAGCCCCAGAAATACCACTGGATCTCCATGTTCCCTCTCCCTCTTTCTGAACAGTGGGAATGGAACTTCTTCAACTTGGAACATCTTATGGTGGCTCCACAGCCCCAGAAAGCTGGAGTAGGGGTGGGGTGTGAGGTTGGGTATCGTCAAAAACATCTCCTGAGCCATGCTACCATTAATTACTCCCTGTCTTTAGTTGCTAGTTAATGAGTTATTTTTCTTTTCTGTTGCTACTACCTATTATTTCTAACATAGTTCTCCTTTAATACACTGTAGGACAGAATATAAGTTTTGTAGCATTATTGTCCCTAGTGAATGGATGTAGTCATGTTTTTTTTTTTCTATAGACTTTTGAATATTTCTTAAATTGAAATCAGAAATATGAAAAAGGCAGGATAAATTTCTTTTCCCATCACTCCCTTCTGTTTTTCCACAAAGAATGTGAAAATAGGAAAATACTAAGGTGCACAGAAATAATATTCTTGGGTCTTTGAGTCTACAAAGGACAGAAGTAAATTTATTTTCATTTCAGGGGAAAAATCCAGGCTCAGTCTATCTGCCAGGCATTTTATTTCTTGAATGTGAAAGGATCTCTGGGTGGTAGTTGAAGAAACAGAATTTCTGTTGTGTAAACAAAAGTGAGAAGGAATGTGAGAAAAAGAGACAGTCCCTAATGATTTACTCCTCTTGATTTTCTTTCTGCAACCACAGAGTCTCTAGGATTGGTAGACTATAGGGTGGAGTGGAGTAATAGTGCATTGGATCTGTAATTTTGATAGAGTAGAGAAGTTCTGAGTCATCCCTGTTGGACCTTTGTATCATCTGTACCTTGTGCAATTGTAACGTTGTTGATAATAGTAGTAGTAATCATAATACAGTTGTCTCCTCTTATCTGCATTTCTGCTTTCTGTAGTTTTAGTTACCTGTGGTCAAGCACGGTGTAAAGATATTAAGTGGAAAATCCCAGAAATAAACAATTCATAAGTTTTAAGTTGCTGCTGTACCGAGTAGCTTGAAGAAATCTCATGCCATCCCTCTCTGTCCCACCTGGGACGTGAATCCTCCCTTTGTCCAGTGTCTCCACTCTGTAAACGCTCCCTGCCTGTTTGCCACTTAGTAGCCACCTCAGGTATCAGATTGACTATCATGGTACTGCAGTGCTTGTGTTCAAGTCACTCTTATTTTATTCAGTAATGGTCCCTAAGCACAAGAGTAGTGAGGCTGGCAATTTGAACATGCCAAAGAGAAGCCATAAAGTGCTTCCTTTAAGTGAAAAGGTCAAAGTTTTTGACTTAATACAGAAAGAAGAAAAACTGTGTTCTGAGGTTGCAAACATCTATAGTAAAAATGAATTTTTTACCCATGAAATTGTGAAGAAGGAAAAAGAAATTGGTGCTAGTTTTGCTATTGTCCTACAAATTGCAAAAATTACAACCACAGTGTGTGATAAGTGCTTAATTAGTATTGAAAAGGCATTCAGTTTTTGGGTGGGAGACATGAACAGAAACACGTTCTGATTGATGGCAGTTGGGTTCAGTACTGTCTGAGGTTTCAGATATCCACTGGGGGTCTTGGAACATGTCCCCCGAGAGTAAGGGGGGACTATTGTAGTAACAAAATCAATGGTAGTAAATCAATCTGCTTTTGATCCCAGATCTACCATGTATTAGCCATGTGATTGTAGGGAGGTTACGTAACCTATTTGTGTCTCAATTTCTTCGTTTGTAGAATGAGGTGTTATCTGTTCATTGGATGGTTTTGAGAATAAAATGAGGTAGTATATGTAAAACCACTTAGAAGAATGCCCTCCACAGGAAATGTTTTATACAGGTTAACTGTTATTAATAACTATGATTGCTGTGATTTATTCTGTGTCTTCAATGGGACAAGGGCAGTGCTAGGCACTTTGCTTGCATATATATTTGCATTCTAGAAGGTTGTCTATCTATCTGTTAAGCCCTAATCAAATGTCATAGTGACTGCCAGGCATTACGTACTCAATAAATGTTTTTTGAATAAACGATTAAATGATAAACAGTACTCATGATTATTTTTGCACTGTTCTTTTTGTTTTAAAGATTATTTTTTTAAATAGGCAGTTATAGTTTTTTCTACTATCAGCTTTTATAACATGAAACTACCATCAATGAAAAAAGCTGATTATTCCTCTGTCCCCTTTTGGGGAAAGGAGTGGAAAAATGGTAATGTTATCTGTATTTAATATAAAACAATAATTTTATTTGTTTATTTTGCCTTTAGGAGTCCAATGACTTTTCACAATACCAGCTCAAAGGCTCGCTTAAAAAAAACTATCTAAACCAGCACATAGAACAGGTCCAAAAGGAAATGAATCAGCAACATTCAGGACAAATCCAAAGGCAATATGAAGATGAAGGGGGCTTTTTGAAGGAGGTAGAGTCAAGGAGAGTGGTCTCTGAAGACACTTCACATTACATCTTGATAAAAGGTATCAGGCACTGTCATTTATTTGACTGTTAAAAACCACATATAGGCCGGGCGCGGTGGCTCACGCCTGTAATCCTAGCTCTCTGGGAGGCCGAGGCGGGCGGATTGTTTGAGCTCAGGAGTTCGAGACCAGCCTGAGCAAGAGTGAGACCCCATCTCTACTAAAAATAGAAAGAAATTAATCAGACAACTAAAAATATATAGAAAAATTAGCCAGGCATGGTGGCGCATGCCTGTAGTCCCAGCTACTTGGGAGGCTGAGGCAGGAGGATTGCTTGAGCCCAGGAGTTTGAGGTTGCTGTGAGCTAGGCTGACTTCAAGGCACTCTAGCCCAGGCAACACAGTGAGACTCTGTCTCAAAAAAAAAAAAAAAAAAAAAAACACATATATGTCATGTCTCTGTATTTTCTATAAACTACTACCCCTGTATAATATTAATTCCTATTTATGTAATAACAATTTTATGTAGCTATTAATGGATCAACTACTATAGTGCCAGCCCACTTTTAAAATTGCCTAATGAATTAACTCCTACCTCCTGATTAAGTGACAATTTATAACTTAATTTATGAGAAACAGCCTTCTCTTATTCATCTTACTAGAAGTGTACTGTCACAGTGTAAAACCGCATCGTGAGCAATGTTTTAATTCTTCTTAAGGTATTCAAGCCAAGAAAGTTGCAGAAGTGGATTCAGAGTCTCTTCCTTCTTCCAGCAAAAAGCACAGCATGTCTTTTGACATGAAATCATCTCCATGTGAAAAAGTGAAGACAGAGGAAGAGGCCGGGGCCGCCCCTCCTTCTCCAAGAACTTTGCTGGCTGTGCAAGCTGCCCTGCTGGGGAGCAGCTCCGAAGAGGGCTTGGAGAGTGAGGATCGAAGGCAGCTGGGAGAGAGGAGCGCACGTGCTGCTGCAAGTGAGGGCTCCCTGTCCCCGCGCACTCTCTGCGCCATTCAGAGAGCTCTAGATGATGATGAAGATGTGAAGGTGCCCACAGGGGATGCCGTGCAGCTGGGAGGGCCAGGAGCAACCGAACTGCTTCTGGACAGTTCCACTGAGGACAACAAGGACGGACTCAAAGTGAGCAATGGGAAAGGAGCGCTGTTGACTGCGGTACCGGCTTCCACCAGCGTGAACTCCGCGGAGGAGCCTGCAGCCGGCACCGGTGACCAGAGAGGGCCGACAGACTCGGCTCCTTTGCTAAGTGCTGTCTTTTGTCAAGGCAGTGAATCTGATGTCCCAAAAGAACAAATGTCATTTATTCACGTGGCGGACGAAGCCTTTCAAGCAAGGGATGAATCTGCCGTTAAAGACAGAAAAGATCCACTTCCCTCGGAAAGCACAGAGGTTATGCACAGGGACGCACCCGGGCTCGCGAGTGGAAAGGAACTGACGCAGGCACTGAGCTCTGTGTCGAGAAGTAAAACAACATGTGCCAAAGTGCTCGATCCACAGGAAGACATTTGCCCATCTAAGAGTAAATATGCTCCCTCTGTTCTTTCAAGTGATGACGAAACAGAATATGAACAAAATCCTGCTTCTGAAGTCATTGGTACTGTCAGTTTGCAAGAAACGAGTAACACAGTAAGCGTCCCTTCAGAGGCAGTAGGTAACTTAGAAAATGTGGTCTCATCTTCTGCTAAAGAGCACGAGAATTTCCTAAAAACCATCCAAGAACAGGAGATGATTGAATCTGCAGGCCGGGATTTAATTTCAGTTCCAGGGTCTGTGAAACCAATGGAAATCGACTCGGAAGAAAGTGAATCTGATGGTAAGTGCTTGTGTTCTTGTAGAGATGGGTAGGATTTCACAGCTGTAGGAACTGAGAGATCCTTCACTGTAGTCCCATTCTCACATTGTACAGCTGTGGAACCAGAGACTCGGAAAGAAAGGTAAAATGACTTTCCCAGGGTCACACAGCTAGTGATGGAATCTTGGCGTTCCCTGTTTTGCTATGCTTTTTGTTGTTGTTGTTTTTAAAGGGACAGAGTGCCCTAGTTGGAAAAGGTAAAGGTACGTTTCCCTCTAGTTTTTAAAAACTCTTCATTTTGAAATAATTACAAACTTTAAAAAATTGAAAGAATGTTATAAAATACTCTGGTTCCTTCGCCAAGCACCTCAGTGGCTAGTATTCTACCACATTTGCTTTCTCTTCTCTTTCTCCCTGTCACTTTTTCTCTGTATGGATATCATATAGATCTATACCTATACACACATATATACAGTCGATTCTCATCATTCGTAGATTCCATATTTGCAAATTGCCTACTAGCTAAAACTTTTTTGTAACCCCAGAATCAATACTCACTGTGATGTCTTCATGGTCGTTTATGGACAATTTGCAGAGCAGGGGAAAATTTGAGCTGCCACACCGTCCCCCGCTGAGGTGGAGCAAGGCTTTGCCTTGTTTCAGCACTTCTGCAGAGAAGCCCAGAGGGTGGAGGCAGGAGAGGACTGTGCAGCACAGATCAAGAAGCTCTGGCCCTGACCCTGGGGCCAGTTGGACCAGGTTTGAATCCCAACTCTGGCACCTATTAGTGGGGTGACCTCAGGCAAGTCACTTAATACTTCTGAAGCTTGTTTCTCATTTGTAAAATAAAGAAAATAGACTCTACTAAGATGGTGGTTTTTAGGATTTAAGATAATTATATGAAATATGTGGTATATGTATTTCCTTTAGAAGCAACGACTCAGTATTTGTTAATTTAGTGTTTGCAGTGACTTTATAGACTGTAGCTACTTTGAGTAATGAGAATCGACTACACATATATACACACACACACATACACACACACTTGTTTCCTGGTATCTGCCAGTTTCTTCACTTTAAAGTTACATTTCCCCTTTTAATTAATAAATATTTTGGGGAAAGGAATTTTTGTTCCTATGTAAACATGCTGTTCCTGAACAAACTTTCACCTACTTGTTTTGGTAGCCATTGATGATTTTTACCTAAATAGTTACTATGATGGTTGATGGTTGCCAAATGATGGTTTCCTAACTCCATCACTCCTTATATATTTATTAGTTGGCATCCTACTATAGAGAAGATCTTTCCCTTCTCTCCCATTTCTTCTTCTTATTATTATTGTTTTTTTTTTGAGACAGAGTCTCGCTCTCTTGCCTGGGCTAGAGTGCTGTGGCATCAGCCTAGCTCACAGCAACCTGGAACTCCTGGGCTCAAGCGATCCTCCTGCCTCAGCCTCCCGGGTAGCTGGGACTACAGGCACGTGCCACCATGCCCCGCTAATTTTTTCTATTTTTAGTTGTTTGGCTAATTTCTTTCTATTTTTAGTAGAGACAGGGTCTCACTCTTGCTCAGGCTGGTCTCAAACTCCTGAGCTCAAACAAGCCTCCCACCTCGGCCTCCCAGAGTGCTAGGATTACAGATGTGAGCCACCGTCCCTGGCCTATTATTTTTTTTAATCACTGTGGACTCCTGGATTCCTATTCTATTTTATGAGTTATAATCTGATACTATCATAATTTACTTTGTTGCTCGAATTATCCCAGCTTTGGCCAGAAGGGGGCCCTTCAAGCTGGCTCTTGACAAGTGGAGGGCTCCTTCAAGTGGCTTTTCACAATTCCACATTATATTTTGAGCATTTCCTTACTTCCTGGCCAAGATATTCCAGGCTTATCTTGTATTTACTCTGCTCTGGTCCTGGAACCAGCCATTTCACCAAGGAATTCTGGTTCCTTTTAATGGAACATGGTGTTTAGAAACCACAAGCTAGATGCTGAGTGTGCTTAGGCCCTTTCAGCAACAGAGCCAGGACATATATTTGTGTATATAAACACACGTGAGCACACACATGCATGTGCACACACACCTACATTTATTTCTATGTCGATCTTTATATTAAAATCCATGAGTTTACAATGATCTCTGCATTTCCAATCTGACATCAATGGGTTTATTCGAACCTCCCCCTTCTTTATAGTTTCCCTAACAGTCAGAAACATTGCTCCCATTATCTTTGATATATTTACTTAAATGCTTATTCTCTCTCTATTTGTAACCATCTCTCCATCCCACTGGCCTCTTCCTTGGTCCTGGCTGCCTCCTTGGACCTGGCCCCTTCTTTTTTCCTGATGGTCTCCTCAAACCCTCAAACTTCCCCTTGAAGGGAAGTAAGGGAACCAATAAATACATTTTAAAAAAACGACACAAAGAGAGGAGAGAAGGAAAGTGGAAGAGGAAGAGCTATTTCTCCTGAGTACTTATCCAGGATTCTTTCCACTAAGTCACAGCTTTATTCTGTTCTATGTTCATAGTGAAATAGCGTAAAAACATATTTAATAACTCCATGATTGTTTATATATAATACATTGACAAGTCTCCTTTTTGAATATGTAAAACAGTTAACTTAGAACATATTTGTATAAAGCTAGTATGCAAATCTTAGAGAGTTTGGTTCCTTTCAAAGTCAGTGCCAGTTTATCTAATTGAATAGCTTTACTTTGAAGTTTATAGGCATTTATGATTAAAAAAATAAATAGTAATATGTTACTATTACAGGTTTTCTATTATATTCAAATCTTTCCTTTTTAGGGTACAACATTTTTGTGGATCCTTCAGAAAGTTTTTGTTGATTTCAGGACAATTTCAATCTTTCAGTTGTAGATAAAATGACCTTATTATTTTGGTACAGGGAGTTTCATTGAAGTACAGAGTGTGGTTAGCGATGATGAACTTCGAGCTGAATTGCATGAAGCTTCCAAATCTCCCTCCGAACGAAGTGAAGAGGAACTGATAGAAACTAAGGAGGAAGAAGCCACTGCTGACACCGGGAGCCTCCCAAAGGACATCTCTGAACACACAGACTTAGATATTGAGGCACACCAAGAAGCTGGAAAAGATGCTGATGATTCGATCAATGAATGGGAAGATATTAATTTGGTAATAATGTAACATTGTATTTTATCTTATTGCTGAGGAAACCAAATTAAGAAAGTTTTGCAGAATTGCCGGATGAATATTTATTAGGTATTTGCAATGCACCTTCTTGTTGCTGATGGCTCCTTTTTTGTGTAGGTTACTGCCTGGGATAGACTCCATTTTCCATGTGATTTAGTGAGGGAACTCTAAAGATATTACAGAATCTTGCTCAGAAATCCAAGTGGAATACTTCATAAGGAGAAAAAGCTTATTGGTAATTTCAGTCAGACTAAATGCAGGCTTTTTGTAACACATGAACTTAATCAGATTATTAATCTACGAATGAAAATTTATTTTGTAGGAGGAGCTGGAAACTCTGGAGAGCAACCTTTTAGAACAACAGAATTCACTGAAAGCTCAAAAACAGCAGCAAGAACGGGTTGCTGCTACTGTAACCGGACAGATGTTCCTGGAAAGCCAGGTAGGTGCGCCCAACCCCGGCCTCCGGTAACGATACCTTTACCAGACTCCCGGGAATGCGTTGAGTGGAATATTTGAGCACTGCTCGCCCTCGTGGTCAAGGCCGGGTAATGCGTTTCCCTGGGGGTCACTGTGTGTCTGTAACTCCGCAGGAACTTCTGCGCCTGTTTGGCATTCCCTACATCCAGGCTCCCATGGAGGCAGAGGCACAATGCGCCATCCTGGACCTGACCGATCAGACTTCTGGAACCATCACTGATGATAGTGATATCTGGCTGTTTGGAGCACGGCATGTCTATAAAAATTTCTTTAATAAAAACAAGTTTGTAGAATATTACCAATATGTGGACTTTCACAACCAATTAGGTAAGACTTCAGAGTGTGATTGCTCTCTGAAATTTACCTTCAGAATTTGTCTTATGAATTTTTTCTTTGCAAAGAACTAATTTGATGCATTCATGGAAATGGTAGGTCTATACAATTTTCATGTAAGTGATCTTTGCTTATATGGAAGAAAGTGATCTTTTGCTTATATAGAAGAATAAGATTCTTTAAAATTAGAATTAAGAGCTTAAGGCCAGGTGCAGTGGCTCACACCTGTAATCCTAGCACTCTGGGAGGCTGAGGTGGGAGGATCACTTGAGCTCAGGAGTTCGAGACCAGGCTGAGCAAGAGCGAGATCCCGTGTTTTTTTATATAAAAAAATTAAAAAAAAAAAAAGAAAAAAGAACAAAAGAACTTAAAATCCTAGTATGTTTAGATAGTTTAATCATCTGACCTAGTTAGACTTTGACTAGTTGCCTGAGATCTCCAGAGGGAACCAGAGATGGTAGACTCACTCCTGCCCTGGGCCTATATCGGTGTTTCTGGGATTGATCATTCATTCTTCCAGTGATCCAGCAAATATGTACCGAGTGACTCCTGAATGCCAGTTGTTCTTGACAAGGGGGGAATGGCAGAGAATAAATAGTCTAGCATAATAAATAGAGTGTACACAAATAACTAAATCATAATTTGACAGTAGGTGGTATGTGCCATATCGGAAAATACAGCAGTAGAGGAGAGGAGAGTGAGCTGCAGTCACTGAGTGTGCAAGTGCTGTTTCAGAGCAAGTTGTCAGGAAAGGCTTTACTCATAGGTGACTTTAGGGCAGGGGCCTAAAGGAAACGGGAATAGTGAGTGCAAAGGCCCTGAGGCAGAAGCCTGCATGGTGTGTTCTAGGGAAGCAAGGAGGCCCATGTGAGTGGAGGAGGAGGACAATGGCAAGAGTTAATGTCAGAGTCAAGAAAGAGACCAAAATCCAGTGGGGCCTGGTGTGCTACGGAGAGAATGTACGGAGCAGGTCAGGGTTGGGGTGTGAGAGAAGGAGAGAGGCTGAGGAGGACTCTAGGTCCTGAGCAGCTGGTCAGGTGGTCCTGCCCTCAGTAAGATGAGGAAACTGAAGAAAGAGCAGCCTGAAGTAGGGAGACATGCAGAATTCAGGTTTGGTTTAATTTGAGACGCCCATTAGATACCCAAGTGGAGCTGTTAACTTGATAGTTGAATATATGTGACTGTGGTTCAGAGAGAGCCAGGCTGGATAGCTAAATTTGAGCATCAGTGCATAGAGGGTATTTAAAGCTGTGACAATGGATGAGACTTTAAAATTATTGCAAAATGCCATTTAAAAAAAATCTATTTTCAGATAATAAAAAAGATATATTTGGTTGTTGGATGAGGATATATATACACACACATGCGAGGGCTGTCTGGAAAGTATCCAGCCATTATTAATATAATAAATGTCTCTATTTTTCATATTACGTAAAATATGTGCACACGTATATAATTATACACATATATGATTTACATAATAAAATGTTTATAAATGTTATATAATCTTCATAAAAGTAAAAAAATGTAATTGTTACTCATATAGGATTGGATCGGAACAAATTAATAAACTTGGCCTATTTGCTTGGAAGTGATTATACCGAGGGTATACCAACTGTAGGTTGTGTGACAGCCATGGAAATTCTCAATGAATTCCCTGGACATGGGCTGGAACCTCTCCTAAAGTTCTCGTAAGTTCTTTCTTCATTTCTTTAATTAAGATATTTATATAAATACTCAGATTAACAAGTAGAACTATTATGTATATCATTAACTGTCTCAAATCATTATTCATTGAGAAAACAGCAGAAAGTATTGGTTGGGGTTACTAAAGTTTGTTTTCCCTTTTCTAGAGTTCAGATGAAATTAGAGTCAGTTTTTTTTGGTAGTGTTGGGCATATGGTAGTTCATGAGTACAAAGCCAGCTCTGTGGGTTTCACAGGAGTAAAGAAGTTTCCATTTCATTCATTCAAATATTTATTGACTAGCTACTATGTGTCAGACACTGTGCTGGCCTTGGGGATAGGAAAGATGACTGAGTCGTAGGCTGTGCCCTGAAGGGGCTCCCACACTCTCGGGGGTGATGGGGAAGCGAACGTAGTTGTTCTTCTGTGTGTTCAGTGTCCTGGGAGAGGCCAGGCAGGAAGGGACTGGAAACGTAATGCCAGGAACGTTACATCCAGTGCTGCTGCCCTGTTTTTCACTGTGTGAGTACGGTGATGTGTTCAGTGGTGGAGTCTAGTTCCGTCCAGAACGCAGAATTGTGCTATACATGAGCTACATTTTTCAGTTTTGAAGATTCTGAGATGATAGGAGTTATGAGTATATCTGTGAAAGTAGTTCTTTCTTAAGGTTTGTCTTGGTGGCATCTTTTTTAAAAATTGAAATATAATTCATATACCATGGAATTCACCCTTTTAAATTGTACAATTCAGTGGTTTTTGGTGTGTTCACAAGCTTGCAATGGCATCTTTTAATCATCAGTTTGTTACAAGGGACTACTTGACGGTAGTTGATTAGTGTTCTCTCCAGTTACATCTCCTGTTTGAAAAATGCTGGGATGCTCTAGTCTGAAGAATCAGTGATTACAATCACTGAAATGAAATCTGAAATTATAATGATTGCAGCCTTCCACTATTAGCACACATACCAATGTATTGTACTTTATGCTTTATCTCTTTTTTCATAATTTTCTTTTTGTCGAGAAAATTTATATACTGGCGGCAAGTTATTAGGTAGCTCATAGATCGTGGTAAAAACTTGAAAAATTACAAATAACTTTACTACGCAAATGAAATAAATACATAGAAAAATTATATAATAAAATATGGATAAAAAGACGATTACAGTTTGTATTTTGTTGATGTAATTTTAGACTTTCCTATGCACATATATACTCATACATTACATACATGTATACTCATGTAAGTGTGTGTCTTTTTTTTTTTTTTTACAAGAATGGATGATGCTATATACTTCTTATGTTGCCTGTTAACCCGTTCGGTGATAGAACAAGGCATATTATCAACCATGAATAGATTTATATCATTGTTTTTAATGGTTCCAAGTCTGTTTTTGTGTCTATCATAATTAATTTAGTCAAATGCCTATTGTTATTTCTATTTTTTTAAAAGTAAAAACAAACACTAATTTGAGTGTCCTTATATATATGTTTTTGGGTTCTTATCTAATTATTATTTTAGGGTAAGTTAAAATGGTATCTGACTTTTCAATTTGTTTCCCTAATTATTAATATTAGTGGCAGCGAATTTTTTTCATGTTTATTGACAGTTTGCTTTTCTGATTTAGCAAATGGCCCGTTTATCCCGTTTTCCTTTTCTTTGTTCAACAGTTTTTGCTCGTTTGTTGCCTGTTGAATTATTCACATTTTTTAGAGTCAGCTTTTGCAGTTTCTGCCTTGGTCTTCTAGTTCGCTGCTAGGAGCAGCATTTAGTCCTGCCTGGCTCAAGAGGTTAAGATGAATGCAGAGTTAAAGAGCAGGAAGAGCGGTGGAAAAGCAGTAAAACTGAAAGTGCTGTCTCGCTTTTGTTTCTGTTCTCATCTCCTAACCAGTCCCTGGCTCTTTCAAGTGGAGCTACTTTGGGCCTGCAGGCTAAATTTAGCCTCAGCTGCATTAGGTTTGGCCTACATAGTGTGTTCTTCTGTAGAGCTTTAATTTTGAATTGGCTACCAACATCTAAATTTGGCGAGATTTTACAAAAAAATCATGGACATTTTGAGGGGAAAAGGGTATCTGAAAACAATGGGCCCAAATTCCCAAATAGCCACAAAATGTCTGGGATGGAGGAATGGCAACTCCCCTCCTCCACTCATCCCACTGCCTTGGCCTGGGCACTCGTCCTTCAGTTTTCATCACAGTCGCCACCACGCCCTATTGTCTGCCCCACAGCTCAGCTGACGATGGGCGGATGCCTTCTTTCTTTCATCTTTAAGTGCCAAGCCTTCATTTAAAGGAGTAATGGTCATTTTGGCTTGATGAGTTCACAGCATGCTGTGCTGATTATTCTAGCTAGCAGTGATTATTACTATTTCAAAGATGAAAATTCAGAAGTAAACTGGGGGAGAATTACAGGTATTCCCCCAGAGCACTCCTGGAAATAGTGTTATAAAAGTGATGAAAAACGCTTGTTTTTTCCTTTTTGTATTTTGATACTACAATGAAGACTTCAACTAGTCTTTTTCAACGCTAGATGGCACCCCTGCTTTGGTGAGATGAAACTGCTGAGACAACCGATCTGTGAACCCGTTCCTAAGTTTGTATCAGCAGTGGAACATGAGATATAGGTGTTTATTTAAGGTTTCATTGAGTGCATAGATTGGTGAAGATCATGTTTATGTTATTAGCTTTTTTGCCACTTATTTTTCCTAACTGTATAAATTTTTCTGGGCCTCTGTCACTGCATTACAAATTACTTTAAACCTTAGTGGCTTCGAACAGCAGCAGTCATTGATTTTGTTCATGAAGCTGAAGTTTGGTCAGGCCCCGTGGGAGCGTCTCGTCTCTGTTCCACATCTGTTGGAGCAGCTCAGCCGGGCTCAAGCATCCACTCAGGATGGCTCATGTGGCTGGCAAGGTGGTGCTGACTGTGGGCCGAGGCCCCTGGGTGGTCTCCATCTGGGCCTCTTCATGAGTTTGAGCTTCCTCACAGCATGCTGGCTGCTTCCGAGAGCAAATGTTCCAAGAGACGGGAAGTGGAAAGAGCTGCCTCTTAGGCCTGGCACAGGGTCACTTCGTGTGTTACATTGGCCAGTCTGTCAGAGAGCCCGCCCGCCTCAAGGGGAGGCAACATGGACCCTGCTTCTTGGTGGGAGGAGTGTCAAAGAATGTGTGGCTGTCTTTAACTTGCCTTAATAATGTAGGCTTCGAATGGAAAAAATTGAAAAATGAATAAAATATAAAGAAAGCGAACAGCTCTATTTTCACATAGAACATTGCTTAGCACACAGGAAAATAATAGTTGCTACTGTTATTTATCATGTTAAATATATTTACGTTTTCTTTGTTTTTCCATGTATATATGTTTTTTCTAAAATTTATTAATAGATTATACTTTATATGGAGTTATGATCTGCATTTTTAAAATTTTGACGTGTTCTTGGAATTTTTACATTTTATTAAATGTTCTTGGATCCATTATTATATTTGATTCGAGGTAAATAATACAGATATATTACTTCTTTTTACTACTGAGAGAGAGACCCAGAGAAGTTGTGACCTCTGTGGTATTATAATTATGAACGTGGGGCTTGGAGGAAGATGGTCAAGGTCTGACTGCACCAATCCAGCTGTGAGCAAGGGGCTTCTCTGTGAGGTTCGTTTCCTCCTCTGTGAGGCGAGGGTCATGATAGGACACTGCTTGTGTGATTATTGGGCATGTGAAATATTTACCACAATGCTGAGCACAGAGTAAGCATTCAACAAATAAGAGTATTATTAACCACAATGTGTGTATTGTGGTTAATAATACTGAGAATAATAAAACTAATATTCTTTACAGCGTATTGTTTGCTTTGGAGTTAGGAGTTGAGTTTACATTTTCTAACTTTAAGTTTAGCTCTGTATCTATAGTGCATGAACTGTATTGTCTTATTGCTTTGTAAATATTTCCTTAACCCTATAGAGAGTGGTGGCATGAAGCTCAAAAAAATAAGAAGATAAGACCTAATCCTCATGACACCAAAGTGAAAAAAAAATTACGGAAGTTGCAACTCATACCTGGCTTTCCTAACCCAGCTGTTGCAGACGCTTACCTCAAACCTGTGGTGGACGACTCCAAGGGATCGTTTCTGTGGGGGAAACCTGATCTTGACAAAATTAGAGAATATCCTTTTATTTCTTAAAACATAAAAGAACACTGAGCCAAATATGTGTTTGGTTTAAAACTTATGGAACAGGAAACTTGGATCATTTTTTTCTTAATATCCCATTTGTCCTAGCAGTCCTCAACCTTTTTGGCACCAGGGATGGGTTTCATGGAAGATAATTTTTCAATGGAGAGGGTGGGGCGGGGGCGGGGGCAGAGAGATGGGGGTAGGGACAGTGGGGGCGGTGGAGCTCAGGTGGTGATGTGAGTGATGGGAGTAGCTGTAAATACAGATGAAGCTTTGCTCCATTGCTGCTGCTCCCCTCCTGCTGTGTGGCCCAATTCCTAACAGGCCATGGACTGCTACCAGTCCACAGCCTGGGGGTTTGGGGACCACGGATCTAACACTTTTTTTTCATTCCTTTTTCCCTCTCCTTAGTTTTAAAGAGGATCTTTATTTGAAATAAACAGTGCCAAGCATTAATAGATACAACCACATACTTATTTATTCTGAAAGAATAGGAAAGATGATTAATTTTGTCCTTTTTGGTACTGGTTTTCTTTTCTGTGTATTTAAATAATCATTTGGATAGATGTTTAAAAACTTGCAATAGAATTACTCCAACTAGAGTGTTTTTTCTATCAAAGATATCTGTAGGCTGTCTGAAACTTGTTTTTATTTCAGGTTAACCTTTTTTGATAGTCACGAGTCTTTGACGTCCTCAAATGATAGTTGAATATGTTTTGTCTTAGAGGATTGAAAAGAACATAGTGCCAGGTGATTATGTTGGAGTAATTTGTTTGTTATTCCTTTCTTTTACAACTCTAATCTTTATAAGTATGAAAATCTTTGGAGATAAGGGGAATGTAATCAAGGATGGGTTCTTTGGACCTTTTTATTTATCACTTGTTGAAATATCTTTCAAAACATTTGTGAGTCTTAACTGCCTGCATATTTTGTCAGCGGTATTTTGGCTGGAACAGAACGAAGACAGATGAATCTCTGTTTCCAGTATTAAAGCAACTCAATGCCCAGCAGGTAATCATGGTGGGCTCTTTTCCTAAGTTCAGGATGAAGAGTAAACCCAGTAAGGCTGTGGTTGACAGTTGTTAAAGACCAGTTAATGCTTTTATTTTAGAGCGTACAACATACATTTTGAAATTACAGTACTTAAGAGAACAGAGGAAAATAGGAAAAGAGAAAAATTGGACGTTGTCTTCATTTTCTTACTCTTCATTCATATTCTTACTCTTAGGGCTGACTTTGCTCTCCTTATTCATTTTGACTTTGAAAAAACCAATCTAATGATGGATTTCACTCTAAGGTGTTTCTGATTAAAAATATTACCTCCTTTATAATTATTTTCATTAAATTTTTAAAAGTCTAGGAAATGTCCAGTCCAAAGCAATTCTGATCATTAAAGTTTCTTCAAGGACTGACAGTTTTAAATTCTATAAATGAGTCTTTAAAGGTAGCAGTTCAGTCATTGCTTATCAGTAGGAGAAATTTTTGAGGAGAAAAGGGCCTTTTGTATGGCCCTGAGTTCCCACAGGTAACTCTGTTTTGCTTTATCTATCTGTCCCTACTCACACAAAACCACAAAACAAGCCTTCTCCCACCCCAGAAGCAATCCACAAAACCTACATACAAATAAGCCACTTAGCAGAAATGAGATCATTTATCTTGAGATAATATATTTAAATTGAATCAATTTCTGTTAGGTTTGGTTAATTTTGGAAAAACATGAACAAAACTAAGACAACATTTCCAGGAGTTTCTCCTGTTTTTCTTAGATAGGCTTTATCTCCTGGAAACATTATGAACCAACTGAGAAGGAAAGCTATTTGGCTTACTGACTGGTTGCTTCTTAATTTCAGATAAATTTTGTTGTAATACTTCTCTCCCTTTTCATTGTAGAACTTAATGTGTTTTTTTCCCCAAAATTAGAAAGTGAAGAAAATGAATTAAAACGACCCATTATCTACCTCCTCTAATGCAGATGTTAACATTTAGACTTATTTTCTTTTATTTTCCCACATATATTTGTTACCGCATATACATGCAACTTGATATAGCCAATCCTTCCTCCCCTTCCACTGATTAGCATAATATTTTTTCTATGTATTGCATAATTTTCATAATCTCAAATGACCAGATTACATTTTATCAAAGAGATTTAAATTAATTAGTTCAGTTCACTTGTTGGAGCTTTAATTTTCAAGTTTTTATAAATAATGCCGTGATTAACATTAGGCAGATAACTTTTCCCATATGTAGCTACTTTTAAAGAGTATCTTCCTAAAAGTAAATTTGCTGGACAATAGGCATGAATATTTCTACAGCTCCTAACATATACTGTGAGCTTGCCTTCTAAAGGTATTGTATGATGAGAATGTTTTTAAAAGAAGAATATAGTAGGATTTAGAAACAGACCCCATGAAATTGTGTTGCTCCAAAAGAAGATGATTTGGCTACAGAAAAATATTTAACACTCTTTGAGTACCCAAGAAGAGATTTCTCATTTGAGATGTAGACTGAGACTTAGTTGACAGAGTTGATGCAAGTACTGCTCTAAGTATGATTTAGAAAGTGAAATTTACTATCAGTAATTAATTGTAAGAGAACTGGCTTTTGGGAGATAATAAATTAGTATTCTCTGACATAATAATCCAATGCGAATGATCAAGGTTGAGCTTGTTGATTTGGTTTGGAAACTTTACTTGTCTGATTTATTATTATTATTATTATTTTAGACACAGCTACGAATTGATTCTTTCTTCAGAGTAGCTCAACAGGAGAAACAAGATGCTAAACGTATTAAGAGCCAGAGACTGAGCAGAGCTGTGACATGTATGCTAAGGAAAGAAAGAGAAGAAGCAGCCAATGCGAATGATCAAGGTTGAGCTTGTTGATTTGGTTTGGAAACTTTACTTGTCTGATTTATTATTATTATTATTTTTTTAGACACAGCTACGAATTGATTCTTTCTTCAGAGTAGCTCAACAGGAGAAACAAGATGCTAAACGTATTAAGAGCCAGAGACTGAGCAGAGCTGTGACATGTATGCTAAGGAAAGAAAGAGAAGAAGCAGCCAATGAAATAGAAGCAGTTTCTGTTGCTATGGAGAAAGAATCTGAGCTACTTGACAAGGCAAAAGGAAAAACCCAGAAGAAAAGCATAGCAAATAAATTGAAAGAGTCATCAAGCCTGAAAAGAAAGAGGTGTTCAGATTCTAAACGAGACAACAAATGTGGTGGATTTTTGGGGGAGACCTACCTCTCAGAATCATCTGATGTGTCTTCAAGTGAGGATGCTCAAAGTTTATCTTTAATCAACGCGCAAAGGAAAAAAGGAGAAAAAGAATCAAAAATCAGCTCTTCAGATTTGCAGAACTCGGTGAAGGAGGCTCATGTGAAGGACGGAGGTGTGACCACAGGCAGTTCTAGCGACGACGATGGAGAGAAAGCAACGACAGTCCTCGTGACGGCCAGATCCGTGTTTGGGAAGAGAAGAGGAAAACTGAGAAGCGCAAGGGGAAGAAAAAGGAAAACCTAATTTAAAAAACTGTGTATTCTCTCTAATCAGGTAGAACAACATTTTGTAATGAACTTGTGAGGACATAATAAAATTAAATGTATTTGTACAGCATTTATATTTAGTGTGTGCTTTTTAAAAATATAGATGCTAGACTGGGCAATTATTTATTTTTCAATATGTTACATTTTTCTAGTGTTTTCTACTTCATTATTCCCTCCTATTCACAGGCTCTGTCTCTTCATGTTTCCATTACCTTATAATGTCTCATGCTTTCTGACCACATTTAAAAAAAAGAAAAAAAGGATTTATATTGATTAGCACTCACTGTCAGTATGCATTCCCTCTGCCTTCCAGGCCTAGCGGAAAGACGTCCATGTTTCTCATTCCCCAAATGTGGCAGTTTTACACAACTATTTTAGTCCTGCTCCCCACTGCTTCCCATTTTCCCTCAGGTTCGACTTAAAAGGCTGGCAGGAGGGAACCTCGCTGCTGGAACATATTTGAAGACGTTTGCTGTGGTTTTACCAAATAATTAGGAAACCTAAATGGGGTGCATCCTTCTACCTTTGAGCATTAACTATGGGAAGCTCTGTGCCATAATGTCTGGCTTTACAACTGCTTCCCTTGTCAGAAGCCGACTTCTTTGTAAATGGATTTGGAGGCCCAGGGTGGGGTTGCACTGGTGTAGGTGGGTCAGCTTTAGGAGTGGCTTGCAGGGGTTGATTGTCCTTGACACAGGTGTTTGTTCTAAGATAGCTCCTGCTGTGAGCTCTCACAGGAACAGCTCTCAAACTGCTGGTTGAATTAGGAGCAATCTAAGGATAGCGTTGCCAATTACTTTGAACTTGGCGTCTTCTGCGCTCAGAAGTGCCTTCCCAAATCTATGTCTTTTTGACATCTTTAGTATTTCCATCTTTCCTGATTCCCTCCCTCAGCCTTCACATGGCAAATCTTCACCAGTGAAAACAAAGTACAGATAGGTAACTTCTAACAATCTTCGAATGACTCCTACATGTGTTTTTTAGGCTCTCATTTATATTTACTGGTCAGCCAAACTTCTCCAGTCCTTGGACTACAGCAGCTGCTTTTCTTTGCTCATTATTAATAATTTGTCCTCATTTCAAATATCTCTTCTGCCTCTAGCAGTCTTCTCGAGTAACTTCCTTCTAGAGTCAACAGTGACTTCTACATAAACTCAAATCTTTTCGTAGTGCGTCTCTTCTCTGGAGGTATTTGAAGCAGGACATTTTTGGAGGGTGGGAGGAGGGAAACATTACCTTTTTCATATTATTCCCATAATCAAAGTTACTTGTAATTGGGAGTTTTCTGCATATATATTTGTAGGTAGGATAACAGTAGTTTTGCTAAAAAGTTTGTGTTACCTTTAACAGATAATTTACATTCATTTTACATTGCAGTAGCTGCTCTAACAGAGATGTTCATGTACAATGGTCTGAATAAGCTGTAACATTACTTCTGTCTTCTTCAACAGCCTGGCCTGTCTGAGCTAGAGAAGCAGTTGTGCACCACAAGGTCATTCAGAGTCCTGGGGTCAGCAGTCCCCTGGGTGCTATCTAGCCCGAATGGTCCATAATGGGTGACTACTACATCTTTACTGCAACCTGCTAGGAGGGGAAAGAACCAAAGCTCAGGGCAAGCAGAATGTCTTATGTTAAGGGTGACTAAAAAAATCACTTCTCTCCTATCTCATTGATCTGGGCATGAGGCCACACATAGATATGCTTGAAACTGGAAATTCTGTCTACCTGGTCTATGGGCCTGGCCTAGGAATGAGGAGGAAATGGATAGTCAGGACCATCAGAAACATGTGCCACAGTACAGTATTTATAGAACAGTTTGGTATTATACATCCTCTTTTTCTCTTAACCCTGTGACCAAAGTATAATCCTTTTACAAGGGAAGAAACTGGACATATTAACCACCTTTACCAAATTTACCCATCTAGTAGGTAAAATTTGTGACCTGAACCCAAATCTTCTAACGTAAAATTCCAGGGTGCTATTTTACCTATAAAATAGGTTGTCTGTTTAAAATAATCAGCAGCAAAGCAAATTTTTCATTATTCAAATCAAGTTGGTATACCTATAACTTATTCAGGATGATGACCATTATATACATTTTCTTAAAATTATCTTTGAGCTCAATCTTTTCTTTAGCTTTATCTACATTTGCTATTGAAACCATATATTGAGTTCTTTATTTCATTTTTTTTCAATTTTTTCTATTTGACTCATTTTTATAGATTCCAGTTCTCTAGTAGTAGTCTTGTCATCTGTTTTTTGAACATCTTAATCACAGTTACTTTAAAGTCTGTATCAAATAACTCAATATCTAGGTTGCCTGTGAGTTTATTGTCACTTGCTATGCCTGGTAAATTTTGACTGAATGCTGGACATTGTATATGAAAAATTGTAGATGTTCTGGACCTCCTTCTAGGGAGGATTCCAGAAGTTATTCTGACAGGCTGCAGAGGGAAGATCACCTCAGTCTAGTCAGGACCAAGTGATTCAAGCCTTGTTTGAAATCTTAGTAAGACTCCAGCTTCTGGTTCCCTCCATTCCTGGAAAGTAGTTTTCCAGAAGTATCCATTGAAAGCCTGGGGTGTTTCTCTCCTCTTTTGAGCTTGGTCCTGCTTTTTGCCATTTAATGCTTCACAAGTTAGCCTCTTGCCCTAAACAGCTTAATCTGTAAATGCTTTGAGTAAAAAGTTAGTGCTGAGTGTCAGGCTTACTTCTCTGTGCCTTTTTTTTGGGATCTTGGACCCTTAATTCCTGGCTGCCTTGCAAGCTCCAAGCACAACTTTGTTACTTTTTTTTTTTTTTGAGACAAGTCTCACTTTTTTGCCCAGGCTAGAGTGCAGTGGTGTCATCATAGCTCACTGCAACCTCAAACTCCTGGGCTCAAGCAATCCTCCTGTCTCAGCCTCCCGAGTAGCTGGGACTACAGGCACGTGCCACCACACTTGGCTAATTTTTCTTATTTTTTGTAGAGACAGGGTCTTTCGATGTTGCCCAGGGTGGTCTTGAACTCCTGGCCTGAAGCGAACCTCCCTCCTCGGCTTCCCAAAGTGCTGGGATTACAGGTGTAAGCCACTGTGCCTGGCCCCAGACACAACTCTCTTGTCTCCTGGAATGTGTGAGACTGCTGGAAGCTTTGCTGGTATTCTTACACATGGCCCTCTCGTTGACTTCTCAGCCTCTTTCCTTTCACCAAGAATCAACAATGCCTGGAATCCTTGGCTGCCTTGACAGCTCTCTGATACTTTCTCGCAGAAGTGCGCGCATGTGTATTTAAAAATCTGCTTTTATGGTTCTTAATAGAAGCTGAGGTCTGCTATAAGCTACTTAACAGCTGGAGGCAAAAGTCTCTATGTACTTTTGAAACAGTTCATTGTAACTGAAATGATCATTGTCTTCGTGTTGTTTAAGATGATTGATTTAGGGATTCTGCGTCTTTAGAAATCTAGCAGTGAGGATTGCATGATCTTTCAAATAAATCCTTGAAAAAGACAGAAAATTTTTATTCATCAAGTGATTCTGTGTTCTTGTTTTTAAAAAAAGCCAAAAAGAGAGTGTCCTCTGACTTAAATTAACTGCCTATGAATAATACTTTGCATTATTTAGGATTTTGAACTTTCCAGGATGTTTTTTACCTATATTATTCACCCCACAAACATATTGTGTGCCTTTTATATCCTTTTTTATAGACAATAAAGCCAAGAAGCATACTAAGTAAACAGCCTAAAATCACAAGCTAATCATTGACAGGAATAAATAAAATCAGGCTTCCAACTCCTAGTTCTTTCCAGTATATTAAAGTGACCTTGATTCAACTGTGTATACGTTGTGGAATCTAAAGTATTTCTTAGAAGCTGTATTCACACTCCTAAGTTTAATTTTACAATATTGCTTGGTTTTGTTTCCTCTATTAGCTTCATGTCAAGGACATTTTCAGTGACATGGGAAATTTACATGTATTCTGAGATGCAAACCTATATGCACACGTGCAGGTGCACAGATGGCCACGCACCCTCGGCCTGCCCATTCAGTCCGAATAGGAAGGAATCATGGTAATTTGATTCCTGAGTACAGAGATTCTGCTGTGGTTGTCAGATTCTAAAAACAGTATTCACATGCAGACAGGTGACATGGAAAATACGTGGCCTCCACTTCACAGGACGTCATAATCATGGAATCTTAGAATAACTCTTGGCATCAAAGTTCAAAGATGGATTGCTTCCCCCAAATAGTTGCTACTCACTTGCAGGAGTGATTTTTATTCACCTGGTAGTTCTATTAATGGCTCTGTTCATGAGACACTCACATGAACTGTTTCTACTGTTCTTCAGGCCCCTTAATCACGGGCATTGCAGCCTCACTGCTGTATAAGCAGAGGCGCAGAAGCTGCAGCTGTCAGGATCCTAATCCCTTCTGCTTGGACTCGTTGCCAGTGTGTACAGTGGTAAGCTGTGTGCCTTGGTGCTCGCCTTACAGGAACTACCAGAGGTGTCTGCAGCACAACAAAAATTGTGGATGATACTTTTTACCTTCTAGAAACTCAGGCAACTCGTTTAGGTATGTTCAGGCTTACTATTTAAATATTGGCCTTCAGGCAGACACGTGTAGTAAAGACTGCTTTCTTTAATGGAAGAGATACTAAATTGGGAACGAAACGTGTGACCACTTGTGGTATTGTTTCAGCTCTGTAACCTCAGTGACATAATTTAACCTTTGGTTTTCCTTGTTTGTAAGCTGTAGGGAAAATAATTGTCTTCTGATATAATGAGGCATGTTGTAAAGAAAAACGTGGCTGTGAAAGTGTTTTGGGATTTGGAAGAAAGGAGGGCTATATTAATTCATGGGAGCACAGTAATTATTTATTACATGATCCAAATTGAGAAGTAAAACATCAAATTATTCTTTTCCAAAGTTTGACTAACAGCTCATTTAAGCTTATTCAGATAATCTATTTGGGAGGCATGAATTACTTTAATTTCTTCAGTTTTCAATATGTTTTCTGGGATGATATGGACTCTTTAAGGTAGAAACTACTCAAAAGACCATCTCCTAGGCCGTTAGACGTTGCAGACGTGGTAATGATGCATCGATGGGAACAAGCGAGCTTCTCCTTCCAATGTTTTAATCACCTCTTACATTTTAGGATTGTTATTTTCCTAGTCAAGAGGAAGACATGCCTTTCTTTGCTACAGCTGAGGTAGTGTCTGGTGAAGAATATGTTTTCCTTCTCTAGTAGCTTCTAAAATTTCTGACTCTGAAACCTTTGTTCTAATTTTGATTTGTACTAACTAGTGTTTAAATGGTCTTTCTTAAATCATGCTTTGTTAATATATGACATTTTAATATAATTTTCTTTATGATATTTGGTTAAACTTTAATAGGCAACTATAAAAACACTCAATACACATTTTTAAATTAATTGTTACCATTTAATATTTTAATGTATTTGTCTAGTTTTCAAGAAATGATCAAGAAAACATCAATGTATAGCCATCCATTAATTCATCATTTGATGGACCCAGAAGCTCATAAAGGTAAATCATTTTATGTTTTTGTAATTTGACCAATTCTAATAAGACAAACAATTAATAGAATATAAAGTCTTACCTTTTCAGTATTCATTAACGTCTTAAAGGGAGCAAGGACTTTTATCAATTGCATATTACGTCTTGCCTTGTGTTTGCTAACCTGCAAATATCTTGAATAATGTTTATTGTCTACTGCTATAACACTTATGATACTGATGATATGTTAAAGATAATTCTGACAGGCAATAAAATATATAGACTTACTAAGTATTTAGAGTTTTTTTGATCATTAAATGTGGAATAATTTTTTCCCCAAGTGCTATACACTAAATGTATGATTGTGATTTCTAAGTTATTTCATTTCAGATAAGAAGTTTACAGGAGGGATAAAAATAGTTTTATGTAAAACCTACAAGTTTTTTACTAATGCTTGGATGAAAGATGAATTTAGGCTGTAAAAAACATCTCTAGGCTGTGTTTACAGTCCTCCTATTAATTATAGGCAAATACATAATGTTTTGACCTCTAGATTAAGAGATTAAGTTTGAATTCTAGTAAAGTGATTAAGTTTGAATTCTACTACCAGTGTGGTTATTTGAAATTGACCCACTATTGTGACATAGTCTTAAATATCAAGTATGACTTTACATGGATTATGTAATATGACTCTCCCCATTGTCTTGAGATAGAAAGTGCAGACATATGCTCTTGACAGACTAGAAGAGTTACCATATTTTTAGAGAGCAGTTGTAGTGCAAATCTGATTATTTTGATTTCTCTCTCTCTCTCTCCCTCTCTCCGCCCCCCCTTATCAGCATACACTATACATGTTTTCTAAAAACTATACTTCTAGTTTTTCCTTTTTTGGCTGTACCAGGTGGCTTCTCCCTAGGTGAGCATATCTTTAGGCCAAGAGAGCTGGGCGTATGCCCAGTGTTGGCAACCTACCTGGCTTAAACACGAACAGTTTTACCATAGCAATTCTTGCAAACCTAAACATTTAAGTTGTAATCACTTAGAGAATCCAGCCATTTAGATGATTTGAATGAAGATGCAATTCTCTGTGATAGATGAATAAAATTGCATCATTAACTTTACCATTAGTAACAATTCTTGGTTTCAACAGTGTGCATAACAATTTGGCGAATTACAAAGGAAATGGAAGAAGTTCAAGGTAAGGTTGGGACAGAACTAGTATTAAAATATTTTGCAACATGAACAAACACACCTCATAATCATCTATATAGCCAATTAAAGCTTTAAAAATATGTTTACAAGCACAGTGCTAAGGGGATTAAGAGCGTGCTGTTGGAACAGAGTCAGATGGCAGTTTGTTGGAAAGACTTCCGCCAAGTAGAGGAACACTCAGTTCTCAAGTACTGAAGGATATTGACTTTTCCTGTCCTAATGCTTTTACATGCAATATCTTGTGCTTGGAAAGGATGGAGCTCAGTGCTCATATTTCAACACTGGCATGGAGATCCAAGAATTATGGGATGTCATTTATATACAGATTAAAATTAGGACTGTGGTTGGTGCTAAAAATTCCTCTGTATATGTTTCTAATGCTACATTATAATCTAGGGTATCTAAAACCTCATGCACAGTAACTATTCCAAATATCCTATGTTGCCTGCCTCATGCCAACAGCCGCTCTCCAGCTGTTAGCACATGTAGCAACAGGTTATGAAGTAGTGGGGTCTCCTGAGGGTCTGCAGCCTTGGAGCAAATTCATCCTTACCCAAGGTTCAGTGATTCCTGTGTACAATGATTCCCAAATTTGTCACTCCAACTGCTTATTTGGCATCCTACATACTGCCTTGTGTCTACTGGGCCCTTCAAAATGTCTATGTGAGGAACATCTGCCCAAATGGGATTAAATGTGTAAAGCAGTGGTCCCCAACCTTTTTGGCACCAGGGACCAGTTTCATGGAAGACAATTTTTCCATGGATCAGGGGTGGGGTGGGGATGCGGTGGGGGTGTGGGGGGAGGGAGGCTGAGCTCAGGCAGTGATGCGAGTGATAGGAAGCTGCTATAAACACAGATGAAGCTGTTCTCGCTTGCCCACCACTCACCTCCTGCTGTGTGGCCCTGTTCCTAACAGACCACAGACAGATACCTGTCCATGGCCGGGGATTGGGGACCACAGGTGTAAGGGATACATGGGGGAACTGTTTGAGGAAGATAAAGAAGGAAGGAGCAGAAGTAGGAAGGGGGGAGGGCCTTCAGATCACTGCACAGGTCCAATGGACATGAGAGGAAGACAGATTGGATAGAAGAACCTCCAACTGCAACACAGTTGTGAGAAAGCTTTGGATGGGTTGATGGGGAATCCCTGATCAAAAGTTGCCCACTAGAGGAGTGGCCTATCTCCTCCGGCAGGAAACTATAGGAGAACATGGTCTCCGGGAGCTGAAGGTGGCAGTGTTGGAGACTATACTCCTTGTAGCAGATTCTCTGAATCTGCATGGCACACATCCATGGCTGGCACATTATGCCACAGACTAATGTATAATAAAAAATAATTTTTCTTTGCTGGTTTTCCCCTTCACCTATATTTCTATCTCAGTTTATGGCAACACCATTTCCCCAGCTACCCAGAAACCTGGAATCATCCACTCTTCTCCCTTCACACCCTTCATCATTACATCCCATTGATTTTACATCCCAAATACATTTCCTGACCCCTTGTCCTGCTTCCTACATCACTTGCCTTGATCCAGGTCTTTATCATTTCTTATCTTGACCATCATTAACTGCTTTCTAATTGGTTGTCTCACCCCGGACTGGCTCTCTTTCTTTACCCTCTCTAGTCCTTTTTCCACATTGTGGCCCACACGATCTTTTAAAAATTCAAATCTTGTCAAATTTCTCTTCTGCTTAAAATTCTTCAGTGACTCATTATTTCTTATAGGATAAAAATCAAGACTTCTTAACATGGTGTAGCATGTTTTATCTCATACTAGTATTCCCGCTTATGCTATATTCTAGTTCTCTGAGTTTCCCAAATTGGAAAATTGATCAAAAAACTTTTTGTGAATGGGCTTTTGTATATGCTGTTTCCTGTGAATGGGATGTCTTCCCTTCTCTTATTTGACTGACAAACTCAGAGTCACCAAGGCTCAGGTAATTCTTTCCTGAACTCTCTGAGATGTGGAACTTTTTATTTTTGAGTTGTTTAGTTAAGCCTCTGTTACAGCACTTATATGTTGATCTATCTTTGAATTCATAATGTCTAGGTACTTAATGAATGAATGAATGAATGAATCTGTGAGCTAAAACTTAGGCCAACTGGCTGGACTTAAATTTGCTCATTAGTGATGATTTGTATTTCTGGTCACCAGTCAGTGGACTCCCTTCGGGACCTAATATATCGTTCTGCTCAAGGTCTCACATGAACATCTTTCAAGAGGATCTTCATAAATCTTTGCAGAGTTGGATATAAACAATACTGCATTAGTTTATGAAGAAGAAATTTGAGTAAATCTATCACTGTTTAAGAAACCTATCAAACTACAGTCTGAAGCAGCATACAAGTGGTTCTTATGTTATAGATAAGATACTTTCCTGAGAATGTCTTTAGGTCAGATTTGTATGTAACTCAGATTCTTAATGAATGGCACATATATAGTAATATTAACAATAATAATAACAATACTATAATGGCTCATATGTGGTAATAATAATACAGTGTAAGACTATAAATAATAATAATACCCCTGTATTATAACAATAAATTCCCAAAACTACTGTGCTCTTTCTTTTAATTCAAACAAACAGAACATAAAAACAAACTAATACAAAAATTTAGATGGAAGATAGGAGAAATTTCAAAAAGAATATTAAAGGTTAACACTCACCTAATGTTGCATCAATGTATTGCTTACTGGAAGGGCATTCTTGAGGCAAGAAGGTAGCTAACAGTAATCGGAAGGTGATGATGGAGATGGTTTTGGAGAGGATGAAGTGGGTGCTGGAGAATCAGGGTTAGATTCTGTTGCTGGAGAAAGGGAGCTCACCACTGAAGTTGGTTTCTTGAAAAGCGTATCTAGGGTTGTTTGCATGGCCTTTTTCTTTTTTCCTCATAAATGGCCTTGTAGCAGCTGATGTTCTCCCTAACTGCATGGTAAACCTTTGTAAACTGCTCAGTGTCAGGATCTTGGCAAATCCTGTTTCAGTGAGAGGAAAGGCTTCAGCTAATTCTTTTGTCATAAACTCTCTTGGCTCTGGATCTTCTAATTCTTCCTGTTCATGTTTCTATCAGCTGCTTCTCTATCTGTCTATGAGACTAGCTGCCAACTAACTGCTTACGCCATGTAGGTTTGTTTACACGTGTGGAAGAAACTAGTTCCCAAATTATTAATTAATTATTCAATTATAAATTACCCTTATGGGGACCCTTGGGAGCTCGTAAGTACTGTCGGGTGGTCCATAACTCGGAGGCTGCCTGTATCTAGTATCCTAGTCGGAGTACTACAGCACCTATAATTACTAATGCAAAAATCATTTAATGCATTTTAGATGTTTAAAAAGTAACCTGAGTACATGTGGTGCTTGTTTTTCCATTCTTGGGATACTTCACTTAGTAGAATGGGCTCCAACTCTATCCAGGATAATACAAGAGGTGCTAGATCACCATTGTTTTTTGTGGCTGAGTAGAACTCCATGGTATACATATACCACAGTTTATTAATCCACTCACGTATTGATGGGCACTTGGGTTATTTCCACATCTTTGCAATTGTGAATTGTGCTGCTATAAATATTCAAGTGCAGGTGTCTTTTTTATAGAATGTCTTTTGTTCTTTTGGGTGATGCCCAGCAATGGGATTGCTGGGTCAAATGGTAGTTCATTGGGTATCGGGCAGATGGGAGGGGGAGGAGGGGATGGGTATATACACACATAATGGGTGCGGTGCTCACTGTCTGGGGGATGGACACGCTTGAAGCTCTGACTTGGGTGGGGCAAGAGCAATATACGTAACCTAAACATTTGTACCCCCATAATCTGCTGAAATAAAAAAAAAATTTAAAAAGTAACCTGAATAAGTATCTGACTATAAATAAGACTATAAATTTTCCACATGTTCAATAAAAATAACTCTATTTAACAAATTATATTGTGACTTTTAAAAATTTTTTGTATTATAATTAATGCTGAAAGAACATCATACAGATCATTTTCATACATTTCTAATTATTTACTTTGAATAAATTCTTCAATACAAAATAATTGGGCTAACGTGTAAGAACTTTTTTTTTTTTTTACTAAACAACAGAAATTTATTTCTCACAGTTATGGAGGCTGGGAAATCAAAGATCAGGGCACCAGCAGATTCAGTGTCTGGTGAGGACCCTGTATTTGCTTCATAGATGGTATCATGTTGCTGCATCCTTTAGGGGACAAATGCTGTGTCCTCACATGGCAGAAGGGACAGAAGGGGCAAACTCGCCTCCTCAAGCCCTTGTATAAGGCACTAATACATTCACAAGGTCAGAGCCTCATGGCCTAATCACTTCTTTTTTTAAAAAAAATTTATTTCAAAGTATTACAGGGGTACAAATGCTTTTGGTTACATGGATCACTTTTGTAATGCTTGAGTCAGGGTTATAAAGTGTGCCTGTCACCCAGATAGTGTTCATTGTACCTGTTAGGTAGGTTTTCGCCCATCCGCTCCCCCTCCTCCCCCTGTTTGATTTCCATTGAGTTAATATACTATCTGCCTCAGATGTCTCCAAAACTCAGATTTGAATGTCAAGTTTGGATGTCAGTGGTTACCCTTAGGGCAGGCAGACCACCACGGCAAAAGCACACAAACGCAAACCTGGCTCCCACACACAGGCTGCCACCTTCATCAGACTCTTGTCATTTTTCATCTAGATTGTTGCAATAGCCTTCTAACTAGCTTCTAAGGTCGCCAGTCCTTCAGCTACTGCTGCCAGATGTGGTTCTTAAATATCCAATGTGATCATGTTAGTCCTGTTCTGACAACCTTTAATGGCTCCTCCTTACCTTATAGAACAAAGGTCAACATTGCACATAAATTTAATCCCAACCTACTTCTTAAGGCTTGTTTTCTACACACCCAACATGCCCCTTGTATGGTGTTAATTGTAATCCTGAAAGACACAATCCTGAACGCCATATTCCCGAATGCTGAAATCCCAAAAGA